ATATATATATATACAATGCGTTGTAGAAGTTTGGAGGCCCTTCAGATTGATCCTTCGGTGAAAGGTATTCAACTATGGTGGGCTCATTTTACCGGGTGTATTGACTCAATCACACTTATACAGTAGTCACTTGGAGTGCTGGCGTGAAGACTGGTCACAGACGAGACTTGGACTGGTGTGTTTGTGAGTGCGTGTTTTTGTGTGTGTGCGATGCGTGTGCTGATGGGACTCCTTTTCACCCCTCAGTTTACGTTTGCATACGCAGCTACAATCAGCCGGAAGTGGTTTTGCTTTATCAGGAATATGTTCCAGACTGAATGACGTGGCTCGGAATGCTATAATAGACATCATGGGGGTGAAGTCATGAACGTGATGGGAACGTAAATGAAATGGCCAGAAATTGCGAGACCGCCAATAACAAAAACTAAGACCAGCGTTCTCAAGGTTATGGTAAATCATCTCCGTCCCATTCCGACATCCCGTTCGACAGTGAGAGCCGCAGGGCAATTAAATGATCAATTATGTCACGCCTGCCGGTACCAACTCACCGCAACTCGCACCAACTCACCATGTGGCCCAAGGAAAACACCCGTCGCTCCACGATTTTCATTTGTACAGGCGCATGGGACAGTGATGGCGCCAGCTCACCTGGCGCCAGTGAAACGATTCTCGATGTTTGGCGGTCCAGTTTCGTCCAGAACCAGAATCGATGTTTTTTTCATGCGCGGGTTGACGGTTTTTTCCAATGACTCGAAACGATACCGTGGCAACTATCAGGCCAGACGAGTTTGCGTTCTTCCAAGGCCACAAAGTATCAAAGATCAAAGAAATCAAAGGGATGGACTCAGAACCCATGTAAGTGGCCAATCTCATTGACGCTCCAAGTATCTTCAAGTAGACGATCCTGGATACCTTAGTTCGAAGACATAAGGAGATCAATGGAGATCACATAGGAGAGGTTCGCCTATATCGGGATCCAGGTTTCTCCCATGCAATCCATGCTAATGCTGTTTAGGTATATAGTTAAAATCGAACATTGTTGGTGGATGGTGTTGCAGTGGGGCATTCATCCAAGCCAAAAACAAATTCAGTGACCCCGAGAGACATGCGGAAGTTTATCACTGGATGCAATTTTTGCTGTGGATGGAGACTTTGAGGGCCACTGCATGCCACTGCCACTCAAGAGTCTGCCAATTCTTTTTCTATACGGTTTTTTCTCAGCGACTTTTTGCCCCGTCCATCGGTTCCCTCCTTGTGGTCTGGCGATCTGTCACGATGCGCCAGTAAAAACCCTCAAATCACACCCTGCGCACCTCGGGTCGGGTCAAATCCTGTGGCAGGTGACATGTCTCACTGCCTGGGCCGACAATCTTGGGAGACACCCATTGGAGCTGTGGCCGAGCTCCTCGCCATTGACGCCATTGGCACCGGTTGGAGGTGGTCGATTGTAGGCGACTGCAGGGTGGTGTGGACGGCGTTCACTTGAGGATTGGAACTGGCAGGTCTCAGACCACGGACAGCTTGAAAGTCCAAAAAGTCTCCACTTGAGGAATAGAAGGTGAACTGATCCTCAACACCCCAAAAGCATCCTTAAGCCATTTTGCCCCCAGTGTTGCATGAATGTCCTTTTTCTGTACCTCCAATAATTACCCTTTCAGAAGTAGACATGGGCGTGTGTGATCCATCGATGACTTGCTGAGGTCTTCACTTGAAGTCTTGGAGCCTTGGATTGGCAAGGGCATCCTCACACACCCATTGCCTCCAATAGAAGAAGCCGAGCTTTTTGGATTCCTCATCGCCAGTCTCCAGCTTCTGTCTTGAAGTTGGAGATTAAGCGAACCCTCAATTGCCTTCAGAGTGCATGGCCGCAATTGGCCCCAAAGTGCACAAAGGACACTGGTTCGAGTTCCGGGGTGGAGTCAATCAGGGTTAGTTGTTTGTTTACGTATTCTCGAGAACCTCCATGTTGTATAGATTTCCGTATATAGCCCTCGTAACAACATGCAACTTTTTGTGTGGGTGTTCATGACTTCTCAGAATCAAAAGTGAATCACTCATAGGGTGACTACCAGTGGGTCAGAGGGGGTGGGAAAATGAGATATATCAATTCGTTGAGTGCAATTTGTTGGAAAGAAGGCTGAGCACTGGTAAGGCTCAGAAGTGCTTAGTAAGGCTTAGTAAAGGCTTATGAAGCCTTACTAGTGCTCAGTAAGGCTTATTAAGCCTCATCACTTGGACTCTTACTCAAACAGTAACATCGCTGCTTAATAAGCCCCAATAACTGCTGCCTACTTCTCAAACAAATTTGATTCCAACATGTGGAAGTGTTTAGCAAAATTTGCTTCTTTGTGCAGAAGAGGGTCCAAATATTGAATGTGATGGCATACAGACACCTCCTCCCCGAATACAACCAGCATTTCATGTGGTTGCACGAGTTGGCCACGTTGTGCCGGACGCTTTGCAACAAAAAACACTGAAATTCCATCCTCAGCCACCCAATATCTTGTATTGTGTGTTGTCTTGTATGTCTATTTAGACCTTGACACAAAATGACACAAATGACATGCCTCATGGAGTGACCATTTTAGGCATGTTTTGAGTCCTCATTGAGATGCCAAGCCGATGGCCCCATGGAGCGAGCTCGTGGTCTTTCACGCGTTTCTTCGTGCTCGTAGTGCGGGTGGCAGGCGCAGGACCCTGGGTGGAGAAAGCACCGGTTTTGTGGGATTTCGGACCGGGGGGGGCTTTGTTTCCCTTATATCGCTTTTTATTTGAAGTTGGTAGTTTGCTTTTTTTT